GAGAGAGAGAGAGAGAGAGAGAGAGAGAGAGAGAGGGGGGGGGGGGAGAGAGAGAGAGAGAGATAAAGAGAGAGACTCCGAAGTATTTTCTACGGAATTGGCGGTCGATTAGGCTGCGCCGATAGATCGAAGATATTACGAATTCGTTGCTATTGCTACAACACCGCGCGATTTTCTGTCGCCTTTAGATTCTTTTCGTCTTTTGTTAATCAGCAACGACTCGTTCTCGGACTGATCCACGGACCGACAATGAAATAGTGTAACTCGATGTATTACATAAGATGCAACGATGATATTATTTTGCAGATTTTCGGGGCCCTTGCGTGTTGCGCCTCTGAGTTGGTTGAAGCGAATCCGAGATTGGGTGTAATCATGTACGCGTAAATCATGATACTCTACGTGTAGACAACGTAAACTATGTATGCCATCTGTGTAGGCAATGAGCAATCTACGAATGTCGTTTGAAGAACGCACGACTTGCTGAAAAAATTAATTTGAAAAGGTTGATATTTTTATTTAATCTTTGGAATACTGATGTAAATTTACGAACGTTGTTTCTTGAACAAGTCAGAGTTTACAAAATTGTCTAGTTGCAATCTCACTTATGGAATTAGTTCACCAATTTATGTAGTAAGATGAAAATTTTGTGCAATTTGTTATCTCTTTTAAACATTGCACTTATAATTAAATAGATACTTGGTAGCTGTTTCATATAATTATTCTTTTTTGTATTTTAATGTAATTCGTAATATTCTGCATAATTTACATTGTCTACATGAAAAACGACCGTGTCGTATGCATGGAAAACTACGCGTTTACTACGTAAACAATTCGCGTAGACGTAATCTTGGAATCTGTGGCACCTCGAGGCGAAACCTAATTCCGAGGAAACCCTGCCTTACGACTCGCGTGATGTCATTCATTCGTCTTGATTCGATGCTGTTGATTGCAAAAGGACACGCGGCGGACGTGTCGTTGTGCGCGCTCTCACAGCGCCAGTCTCTACGTTCAACATCCGCTTCGTGATCGAGAGCTTGATAATATCGTGATTGCGACGTAGCGTTGATTTTCGCGTTAGAGCGCTCATTAGGTGTGTCTACGTGAGTGTGATTATTCATAAATAAGGCGGTAGTTAGCGCGCCGAGGAGGAGGAATAAAGGTGGGACGAACTCAGCGATTGATTGTAACGTAGTCGATAGCGTGAGTGTAAATGCCTGACGTGGTGTTACGTGTAGTGTAGTGCGCATATACGCAAATGTATACGTTGTCCAGGTTTGTATCGAGAGACTAGTAGTTGTGTACAAATGATTTCGTCTTCCCTCTTTAGCGTCGTGACGACTCGATCGGCGTTGTATTGTGTCAGTTTCGTTATTAGAACGTCATCGTCGTCGTTGTCGTCTTTGACGACTGTGTGATTGTCTTACCGATGCCCTACGTTAGCTTGTTCCGTCATCCTATATTAGGGCTTCTAATTGTTGGGATGAATAACTATCTGGATATCCGAAATTGGCTCTGATCTGAAAACTCAAAACCTATTCGGATTCAAGTTTAGACCATAAGAAGAGATTCGGATCCGGATCTAGGACTGATTCACAGAACCGAATTCGAATTCGAATTAAATAAATAAAAAGAAAAAAATCAGATTATAAGGTTGATCAATTTGATAACAAAATTACCGAAAGTAATTATTATTTGAATATATAAATAGGCACGATTGTTTTAGACCAAGTTGTCAAATCGCGGGTGAAAAATGTTGACTTATTGATTGTCAAATTTTTGAAAGGAAGGGTTACTGCGACTGTGGTGCCTACTTGGTCGATGCCCTGGCAAACTTAAATCCGGATTCAATGCTTTAATTGTTCGAGTATCTTGGAAAGTTCGAATGTCCCAATAAACCGAACTTGAAGCATGTTGCATTTACTTACTATCTGGATAATCGGCTATCCGGATGTGTCAAAATTAAAAAAAAAAAGAAATTCATCGAAGCCCTATCCTGTACCTTACGCATTATGCAACTATGACAACCTTATTTCTATTAAATCAATCAATAGTCTCATTTGTATTCCTCGATCGGCCAATTGGTTCCATTTGTCGTTAAGTTATACTTCTGTTTTTGTAAATAGTATATCAACGTGAGAGTGAAAGGGGGGAAGGAGGGAGAGGGAGAGAAAGAGGGAGAGATTATAATAATTTGTTGTGTTCATACACTTTGATTTTCGTTTCCCTTCTTCCAACTTTCCTCTTCCGCATTCCATATTGTTGAACTTTAAGTTAGGGCTATCAGTTGGTATCCTATGTGTCGGCTGACGTGATATACTTGGCGCACGAATTCTTCGTTATATTCATTGGAAGAGTCAGGACGTAATATTTACGACTAATGAAACGTCGTGGCGTTGAACACGATTGGACGGTATATGATTCGTATTGATCAGATTTCTTCAGTACATATTTTAGTTATTCTCCCGTCGCATTTACTTCACCATATCGATATCTTGTTTATATATACATTCAGTTTTTCAAATCTTGATTTTGCAATTATTAATCATTGTGAGCTGGTCTTTTTTCCTATTAAGCTTTATTTTGATCACCGAGAAAATTAAATTTTAAGTTTAACAACAAACATCTCAAAATGCAAGTACCTAGACAGCAGTTTTAAATGTGCAGTTAATGCCATAAACTATATTCGCGTTCTATTGCCCTTACACAATAAACAAGAATCGAAACGCGTTTCTGAAACAGCATAACATGTGTTTCGATTATATATATATATATATATATATATATATATATATATATATATATATATATCGGTCGAATTATTTCGTATAGGAGGAAATTCGTTGGAAAAGTCGAATCGTGAAGAAACGTTTTTCGAAAATTAAGATAGTCATAATGTAACTTCAACCGCGCATTTTTCACGTGGCATTTTTCTACGCGTGATTAATTAATTGGCCGAAGCGGGGTGCGGTGGAAATTTGCGTGTGGCGTTAATTAGTAGCGTTAATTAGATTTTGGACAGAAATTTTATCTCCATGAATACTCGAATCCAAATTTTATACTTAAATCCTGAATTTTACGAATTTTTTATCCTACTGATCTTTGTCGCGGAGTTCTCATTTGTTAACATTTTCTAATTTCACGTTCAGAAAGTTTTTTCCTTCTTATCAGTACTTATTACTTATATGTTTACATAATCATTTTGTTGTTATTAATTTTTCTGAACAGAGATGTATCACGGTACGCGTATTCTTATAGTCTTTATTATATTATAGTCTTTTTTTTAGGATCTCGAAGGTATATAAAGAGATGATTAATCGCGACACGGAGATGCACGTGGACGCGCGAGAACCCGAGTCGAAATTGAAGTCGGTATTCATGATGCGTCATTACTTGACGAATAATCGTAGCTTCGTGAATCTTTAATTGCACGTCAGTCTGTGCGTATTGCATACGCACAGACTGACTGAGGAATATAGACCCATGGCCGAAAATATCACGGTCCATAATACAAAACTAATAATTATGCTTTGAATTGAAGATTAAAATAGTACATAATTCGCAACTATGTATATTATCCTCCCAATCTAGTGTAAGTCTTGCAAGTACCAATTTATACTCTCGTTAACGTTTTTTGGAAATTTCGATTTGAAGATTTAAAAAAAAAAATTGAAAAGGAAACAGGAGGGCAAAGAAAGCAATAATGTTATGCACCAATAGAGATTAGAGGTTAGAGTCGGTGCAATAACAATGATGGACCGAATTGATAAGACGGCGTTAGCGGATTCAAGGTGAAACACGTGTGTCAAGGAGAGTCTTGTTAGAAAAGCAAGTCTGGGAAAACTAGCAAGACTTAGGTTGATATTCGTAGTTGCAAATTATTTACGACCTTCGACTTAATTGCAGATTCGTATTTACATGAACTGTTGTTCAATTGTTTGAGACGTCAATATTGTTATGAGATAAATATTATTATATTAGATTAATAAATAATCAGAGATTCGTGAAGTTATGATTACGTATCAAATGACAACGAATTGTGAACACCGGCTTATGGGGTAATTTCGATTCGGATCAATAGAAATAAGAAGCTCGTCCCGCTGTTAGCAATAGTTGCCGATTAATCACGTCGGCAATGTCTAACTATATTATATATATGTGTGTATACCTCGCGCGATGTCTCGATTTTCGCGACAAGAGGAACATAATGGAAAACGATTAGGACAGAGATTAGAGTTTCATCCAAAAATGATTTCTCCTCTGACTCACTTGTGCCTTGCCCTCGATCATCCTTCGCTGTTCTGTATCCAGGTATCCCTCTTTTCTAAATAATCGTCTTTGATGTTCGATGTCCTTTCTACGAATAAGAGACTACCAAGTGATCGGTACCACTAAGAAGCGTGCTCCGTTTGCCATAATGATATTAGCTCGTAATCGATAAATGTATACCTAATAATCTTACGATTTTTAGCCCTTAACATTTGACCGTGAAGCATTCGGATCGCGGATATTGTTGGATCTCGCCTTGTCCAGAAAAACATATCTAGAATATTTATATTCTAGAGATTACTTCTTTTCCCGCTACAATCGAACACCGAGCAATTCTGAGCGGAACGACAATTGAACGTTTGTCTAATTTTCACGGGGTCATCCTCGTCTCTTTCTACAAGGAAATCAGTGTCGATAATCAAAAGTCGTGGCGAGGCTCGACGCTCATCGGAACTGAGATGCTTCACGATCTTCGTGATTATTGTAAAAAACGCTGCTCAGTTTGAGCGCGTCTATTATTATATGCTAATTATCAGGAATCATCGTCAGCACAGAAATTCATACGGTTTCACGACAAATCAGACGTTTATAATATTCTGTCCACGCGAGTGTCACGCTGAGACGCGGTCCGACTGTCGTATTGACGGTGCGCGCGGTATTGTTTTCGCGTGTGTATTGTTTTGGGACAAAGAGACGGTACTCGCGTTCACCAACTTGCTGCTGATGTTATTGAAAGAGTCGACACGTTTGATCGTATCTCAGTCTATTGTTACAAGAACAGTCACAGTGAAATAACACTGGTCAGCAGACATTTTGCGCTGAGACAAGAGTTTCCAATTCTTGCTAATTTCGAACCGCTGAATTGAAATCTAGCGAGCAAAATGTTTCATTAATAACAGTTTTAGAGATGTACGACAATGGAGTTTTACACACATTTTTTTTCAAAATTATTTTTATGTCTAGCAAATCTTTGCAGAAATATGCCAACGTCGGTATGTCGCAATTAAGGGTGAGATCACTCTGTTAGAATCATTTCACACTTCTTGTTTTATTGCCCTGTTAGGGTGATTTATTGATGAGAAAACAGTTTCCTCGTATGAATCCGCTTTAGTTTAACCAGGGATTTAAAAGGAAGTAGTATCTTATTGGAAATGTGCTCTTTTCTTAACGTTGTGCTTTAAGTATTGTTAACAGCGTTGCTTTACGAGCAGGACTGTAATATGTCGCGCTCCAGTGCGTTAAGAGAACCACTTTCATTATACTTGGCTGACTTCAGTGAAACAAAGATGCAAGTCAACTCCATTGATTCGTAAAGGATATGAATTATACTTTAGGGGCAAAGTAGGAGATGATAAGATTTGGATTCCTCTCATATTTTTGCAAAACTTGGACATGTAGCCTTGCAATATTGGTTAAAAGATGAAAATCGAGTTATACTTTTCCCAAAAACTGTTACAAACTAAATTTTTTTATTGTTATTTTCTTGCTCAGGGGATTCGAATCACGCGAAAAATATATAGCAGAAGTGCTTGGCGCAAACGTCAAAAGTTAAAAATTGTTAAAAAGTGAAATCATACGAAGTTCTGTGAAATGTCCTGATTATCGTACAGCGGATCATGAGAGGCTGTTGTGGCTGGTGATATCCTCGTTCGTAACGACGGTTTCGGAGGTATTGATGACTAAGATGTATTCAATTAATGAATTTTGTACCGTTAATTGTAGTCGCGAGAGAAAGAAGGGTGAGAGGGAAAGAGGAAGAGAGAAAGAGAGGGAGAGGGAAGAGAGAGGGAGTGAGAGAGAGAGAGGAGAGAGAGAGAGAGAGAGAGAGGGATAGACGGAACACGTGGAATGTTTCCGTAGTAATTGTAGCCTCCGACGTGTTATTTGTCGCGATGCTCGATTTGAATATCAAGATTTTGATACTAGAGTAAAATCTTTCACAATCGTTCGCGGCGTATTTGTGCGTTATGTTAATCTCCCTCCACGGGAAGATTATTTTCGAGCTTTTGCGTGACGGTTCATGAATTATGCCGGGATGTGGAGGGAGAGAGGGGAAGAGAGGGTCAAACGGTGGCCTCTCTCGCGCGCGTAGAGAATTGTTTTTGTGCATTATTCAAACGAGCGTCGTAGCAACCCGAAAGAATAGAGGATATTTCGTGGCACGCAGCAGCAGCAGCAGTACACCGAATGGTAGTAGTCTGGACAGCTTCCATTTTCCAGGTCTCAAATGCGCCGTCGCTTGAAGAAAGTGCGTCTAGTTTCGCTCGCGGATCGAGCATTCTCGCTTCAAATTAGATCGGCTACGGGTAAACCCGCATGGATCGACGCGCGGCTAATTATCGTGACGCTACGCAACGGCAGGGTACACATTAACAAGGGAGAAGGAGAAAGACAGAGAGAGAGAGAGAGAGAGAGAGAGAGAGAGAGAGAAAAAGGAAGAAATTAACGCGAATTTGTTTGCACGTGCTCGCGCGACCTTCTTCGACGCGCGAAGCTAGTCGTACCTTTCTTGAGAACCGCGCACGATTGTCAAGGACAGATCGGTGTCAGCAATTTTAAGACTATTTGTAAACCTTGGGTGTATTTTTTAGAGAACAGAGTTAGCGACATTGTTACCCGCTATGCGAATATCAGTACCATAACGCCCACTTATATCCGTACAATGAGTTACGACGATATTCTATAAATGGCTGTACTACTGTAAAATCAAAGACATAGCGTACAATAAAGTTTAGTGTTGTAGGAGACACAAGTTGGTCAGACGATTGGTGAAAAGAGATGAGGTGAGGTGACGTGACGTGAGGTGAGATGGGATGTTGTGTTGTTTCTTCCCCTTTCGTTGTGTCCTTGGCTATGTTCGTGGTAGAAAGATAGACAAACGTAGAAATGTTTGGTTGCAGGAAATGTCGATGGTAAAAATAAATAACACACTTCATCATTGTCATTGTCGCATAAAATTTATTTTCCAACTGTAAAATTTAAAGAAGAGTTCCAAAAATTTATTTTAAAATTTATTCAAAATTTTTAAATTTTTTCAAAAATTACTATAGAGCGCGCGCGCGCAAGATTACCGTAGAGATATCACGATAAAGATAATAATTTCATGTTAACTGATGTTTTAATGTTTGATAAGTAATAATTTACTTATAGTAATGCCAGATCATAAGTGTGTTCCACTAAACATCAGAATATCCCATCCAAATTCCTTTAATCTTAGATTGTCTCGGTTAAGCTTGTCGTTGCCGATTTAGATTAAAATCTGTGAATACGTTTCTACATGCTTATTGCATTTTGTGCATGAGGGAGCGACTCGTGGTTTCTTTACGTATGCCAGCAGAACATAATATCTATTCAACGTGACTTCCTCTTCCTCGTGTTCTCGTTGCTTCTTTATATATGGACGCAAGATCCGATGAGTCATTATGTTTTCCGTTAAATCATCGATGAATTTGACTTTCATGTTGTCGGGCATGTTAGAGACGAAAGGATTGACCGCCACTATGTGTTCTACGAAGTACAAACGTGGCGTTAGTTTTGGGCAGATTTAATTCGACTTTCATTCACTTACGATTGTCTAATTTAGCTTCACGTTCTCTACTCAAAAAATCGTATTTTTTTTATCAGTTATAATATATTCATTATTTGGAAAAGAATATTCACGCTATTATACCTCTGAGCATCTCTCGGTTCTCATAAGTGAATGTTTTCTCTCTTTCACTGCAATGAATGATTGCAAAGCCTGTTTCCTCCAGAATCCTCCGCAGAGACGCTCTCGAATTTTTAGAATATTGAAAATATGGTATATAGCGGTTAATATCCTAAAGAAAGAAATGCTCGTTTATTTGAAGTCGATTTCTGCTGAACTCATTATCACGTTAAGTGTGTGTTGTATTATTTCTGTGACTATTGTTACCCGCATGTAAGGCTCGTATTGTGGATTTTTTTTCATCTCATGGTACGACTCGAAGCTATCGTGGTGCGCCAAAAACTCGACAAGTGCTCGGCCGCCTGGTCGCAGTAACTTGTAAATATTCTCGAAAGCTTGTCTAATGTTCTGACACCAATGCAAACATGAGAATGACACAACACAGTCGTATTGTTCGTTTTCCTCACTTGGCAATTCCGCTTCGATATCCAAAACAATAAATGATAATCTTTTATCCTTGGCATAATTTAGGTTGCCATAATCCGTCATGTATTGAGATATATCGGAGCCTGTAAGATACAAAAAAATGAAGAAGACAAAGAAAGAGATACTAACAAGCTTATGGCAAATTTTCATTCGTTTACCTATGACTACTACATCTGGTTGCAATCGAGGCAGTAAGAACTCTTTGGTAACGTCACCGGGTCCAGATCCGATATCGATGCATTTTCCTCGTACCATAGATAGTTCGTTGCTAAATTCCTCTATAACGTTCTTGGCGGATTCGCGTTGCATCATATTCGCGTTAACATAATGTTTAGCCAAATTCATGATGTGATGCGGCTTAGACTCGGTTATCTATACAAATGCTTGGAAGTTTAAATCACGCTCCCGCAAAATTATCTTTTCCACAAATAATCTCTTCCTCATAAGCCTCACGTAACCGAGTACTGCTGAAAATAGCGCTCTCAGGAAACTCACGAAAAAACTGAAGAGGAGAAGACGTAGCTGCTATTTATATAGTCATCCTAGAAACGGTGGAGGGGTATCTTTCAGAGGTAGCTTTGAAGGGCATCTTTGAAAATATCTTCCTATATAGAATTCTATTTCATAACTATTTCAAAATTTTTTGTTGTGTGTACAATCGAAAGCGGAACGGTTTGAATACCTTTTTTTGTAGTGAAGTTAGTGATCCATCTAGTTGTCATATCTGAAGATCACTGCTAACAGGTTCGCACGGCAATCGGTTATTATGACAAAATCCGAAAAGACAATACGTGTGAAAGTCAATTTTAATAAAATCTTCTCGTAAATGATAAAAGTAAATTTTATTATTTAAGAATAATAAGAATATCTTGTGCTTCACATAAATATAAGCAACATTTAACGGCACAACCTAAACTGAAAAGTCCAGAAAAAATGTAAGTATTAAAGTAATACAAGAGTTCTCTCTCTTTCTCATTACTTATTAACTTTAATTTATTATTTTACTAAAAGATTATTAACTTTACTAGAAAAAAAGTGTTTCTAGTCTAAGTAGTAGTCTAGTATAAACTATTTTGCTCTCATTTGTACTTCTTTGCAATTTCCTTTCTTAAATGTGCTTCTCCATTTCTTTGGTTTCGACCAATGAATTAGGTTCTCTCTCTGAGATTCATTTTATTATATAAAGTAGATGAAATCTATCATTGATAAATTACCATTTAAATCATGATCGTATGATGATATCTTGTTTGCTAATATTCGTGTATATTTATTTTATGAATTATTGTGTCCATTATTGCTTTTCTTATATATATTATTAATCTTTATATAGACTGTCGTCTGCGTAATAGTTTGAGAAAAATAGTATAATTTGTGTTATTAGTTTTGTATGCAGAATCTGAGCTCGTACGTTTCGGAAACCCAGAATTTCTGGAACCGCGAGGACACGTTTTAAAAATACCGCAAGTAATTTGACTAATCAGAACGGGAAATTTGTTGCAAACTTTATCTATATTCGACAGTGTAGATGAATGCACCGAGTTCCTTCGTCTAATCTGCACTATTATATACTTTTCTCGTCGAATATAAATTTTTCTATTAATTATTCCTCATCCTATAAATGAAACTCTACTAATTAATTTTTATGTTGCGAGAAATACTGCTTCAGCTAGTAGTCGGATCTAGGTCTCCCCACTTGCCAGGCGGGATGCCATACCAATTCGGCCACCAAGGCTTCGACAGTATTCCTCCTAATAGAACCTTACTCAGAATGTAAACAGAACGTCTTTTTTTCTCCTGGCGTATTAAAACGAACCATATCATCAAATAGTCCGTAAGAATTGAGTAAATTATTCACGATATTTTTATTTGGGAAAAAATATAGTTAATTTTAAAAGTATTACGGAATGTAATATAATTTTTATGATAAAGATGATGTATTGTTAAAGCCTGTCGATATTACGTCACTAGTTTTTTTTTTATTAAACGAGCGTTTATGATTGAGTATCGATTCTCATAATGAGTACATAATTTTTAAAATAAATATACACATCTTATCGAACAAACGAAAAGTAAGTGATGCATAACGTTTTTTATTACGATTTTATAACATGTCGCATTGTTTTGATATGCCAGATCGAGTTTAGTAGATTTTATTAGTAATTAATTGCATATATGTTTTAAAGTTTTTACTCGATTATTTCAAGTGTATCTCTCTTTTCTTTTTTTTTTTTTGAATAATATACTTGAGCTGGCATTGTGTCTAACATTGAATCGCGATACAATTGCTTGTCCCTTCATGACGTAATCACTATTCTTCCACTGACCCGTTGACATGTGGCTCCTTTACATATTTTGCATTTTTTCTACAAGAATAGACAAGAATAGACTGACACGGCTACATATATACATATATAGTTATTGTTACTGTTATATGTGTCTTCTGTCACATATATATCAAAGAAGTAAATGTTGGGTGAAGCAATATTATTGAGATACTTTTGTTTTAAAGTTTTTTTTTACCATTTGAACGTCATTTACTCGTAAGTATAAAATCAATTTTTTTTTGGAGGAATGTTATTAAAACTTGTGTATGTGAACACTTATAAAGAAACGCGTGTCCCATGTATTGATCTAGTTTACAACATATTAAGAATTCATTAAAACCAGAGGGGGACACTATTGCGGGTTTCCTTGTAAGACGAGTTTTGCCGTGACTTTAGTCGATCAGCAGGGCTTATCACAATTAATTCGCGATTCGGTCGAGTATTCGAGTACTGAAAGACCCGCTTGGATTCTAGCCGGGGTATCCGAGCCCTTAAGCCTCTGTTATCTTACGGTCGCATGTATTTGCCTCTCGGACATCGGCGTATTTGCATATGCGACGACACACTCCATACACGTCGAGATAATATACAAGGTGTTTTCCTAATCAAACACCCGTATTTCACGAAGGACGAGGGTGTCCTTCGTTTTTCGGCCCGAGAATGGCCCTCGCTCAAATCCCACGCTTGAAATCGACCTGGCGCCCTTGCTCGCGCAACCCCACGGATTTTCTCCAATTCCCGCGAATTTCCGAATCGACTTCATCGCGCAAACATTCCGACAATGATATCACCGGCTTGCCGGTGATCATTCGGTCTCCATATCCGGGCCGACCGTTGTCAACTCCGATTAAACTCTGATCACACATTTTTATGTTTTCGCATACTAAATCAATTTCTTCGCTGCGCACATTTTACGCATTTTTCCCCGGTGAGACGAACGTGTCCGAGTCTCGTCACGTGACGTTACATCGGAGCTGACGTTATACTCGTCCTTCAACTACCGTAAATCAGTTTGGCGACGCCTGTATAGAAAATATTTATGAAACTCGGCTGAGTTGACCCGCTCCTCTGACGCCCCGGCGGCTCTCTTTTCTCTCGCCGTCTATCTCCATTTTCCCTCGCGCTCTGCGCGAGGTAATGCAATATGCACTCGCGTCTCTTTCAAAGGAGATAACAAAAGGTCGTAGCGCGTACGCACCACCGCTCGGAGTTTATAGAAGCACGGAAGCGCGCAAGAAAGCTCCGGGAGATGGAAAGATACGTCGGTCCAGCCGGAACGCAGTCGCCATCGTCGTCGTCGTCGTCGTCGTCGCGGCTACGCGTCATTTTCTCATCGTGCTCGATCAGATTACTTTCCACTTGCGCGCGAGTCCTCGTTGTAAATTTTTAACGACGACCGACTCGTATACTTGCCGCCTTTTTTATAATAGAACGGAACTGCGTACGCGCGCGCTCCTTTATCACGTGCCTCTCTTCTCGTCGTCGTGCAAAATATAGCGCGAGAAAACGCCACGAAAGAATAGGAGTGGGATAGTAAAGTAGGTACGAGAAAGGAACGGATTAACGTGTCTGAAAAATTGGTGCATTGTTATGCGCGCCGACTAAGGTAGTCGCACGAGTAATAGAGACTTTATGTTCGACATGAGGTGAAACACACGCGCTATTGGCGAGTTCGTTATTCAGAGTCTCTTATACTTAGAGCGAATTCCTACAAATGGCGACTGAGAACTGATTTGAATACATATTTGAAACTTTTTCGGATCGATTCTGATCAGAATAATTCCGTTTTCTCTC